TCCAACTGGCCTCCTTGATTCTTCACTCCTGGTCCCATCTCCATTTCTGGCGGCCTTGCTTGCCCACTGAATAAGATGCAAAGATTGATTTCTTCCCATCTCTAATCTCAGCTGGGTTTCCTGGATGCTGAGTCCCTCTCTCTTCCATCAACCTGTGATTCTCTGAATGGCTTTCCTGGTCAAACCCCTCCATGCTCTGCCCGGCTTCTGCTTCTCTCTCCTGGCCAGTCGCCCCCTTGCTCTGCACTGGCCACACAGACAAGACCTGAGTCTGCATTGGAGAGTTAACATCCCCAAGCTTTGGGCCCCAACAGAAGCACTTTCTCATCTTAACAAGTGGGGATCTAAGAGAATTGGTCCCGCAGATCCAGATAGAGAATCAGATCAGGGAGTTGCTTATCCATTCATTTGTTCAGTATGGACTGAACATTCACTAGGCAAACTTACCCATGTAAAGGCCTTCATCCATTATACAAGAAGCTCAGTAGAGGGCACTCCTGTATTATAACAGCTAAGCACAGGGGCAGTGGACCTGAACCCAGGGAGCCAATCAGAAAGCACAAATAATCTGTCTCCTTATATGCGTGCTGGTGGACTCGCATGCCCAGTTCTGATCTGTATCCTTATCCACACTCACCTGTGGATGGGACGCTCACCTTTGCATCTTATTAGCCTTAATGACTCAAAGATAATAACCATGAGATACATTGCTCTGATCACTAGATAACACTCAAAAGTCACTTCAATGGGTGGCACACTTTATTTCTAAGCCCTTAAAGGGGGAAAAAAAGATAATATTTCAGGATCCAATTGCATTCTGTTTAACTCAAACTAATTGAGTTCTTTTCTGGGTGTAAAGTCATCTTGGTGCAGAAGAGAAGGGAGAAGAGCTGAAATATTGCTGCTGCTGGAAGTGAAATTCATCTCAGGCAAGACACAGCACACATTATTCTTTGAGGAATGTCTTCGGATTAATTAAAATGAAGAAAGTAGCACACGCAGCCAATATTTTCCACTCCGTGGAACACATGCCAACTGGGAGGGGGCATCACTACTCATATGACTATGTATTACAGTATCAAAGTGGTTTCTTTGCAGTTATCAAAGCCAACGTTTATTGAGCACTTACTGTGTGCCAGGCACTGTGCCAAACACTGTACATGCATTATGTCATTTGTTCGTCACAACCACCACACGTGTTAGGTACATTTTGAAAATGGGAAGTTTGAGAAATACTGATGTGGGTATTGCCACATGACTAGAATGTGGTGAGAACCACAAGTCACCCACCCAGTCTGTCGACAGAGCCCAGACCATCAGCCATGATGCTAAGTCCATGTAGAAAGAGGTTCTAAGTGGGCCTTGCATTTCTGACATAGAGGTCAACATGACTTTCCTTTTCATCACTCCAGTGTTTCTCATTGCAATTCATATTTGAAGGCTGACTGAGCCGAATGACATTTTTATGGGAAATACGAGTAAGTTAAATTATCAACTGTAAAACCAACGCATCACCTGGTGAGTGAAATTAGAATGCGGAGTGGTTGCCATTCAGTTACGGTGAGTTGCTGTTGAATGGCTCTGCTCTGGGAGGCTCTATTAATGTCTGTGACTCTGCTTTTTCTACTGGACAATAGGTAGCGCTTGGATTGCTAAACCCCACGGCGGGGGAGCCAAATGTGGGAGCTGCAGTGAAAACCACTGTTGGCAGTCGTTAATACAGCACCAGGAAAACATGTCGAGTGTTTTACTAAAACGTTTCCCTCCTACGACCCTTAAAACAAAAACAAGACCTGACCGGAGATGGAGGCAAGTGAGGGAAAGGAGCCCTATGTTAAGATCATTTGTGGGAGCCAGGCCAAAAGGGTCCCTGTCTGATCTGTGCCTTTCCAAATGCCCAGGTTCCAGGCTACTCATCAAAGTCCCATCTCGGACTACCACCCAGCAGTGGCCCTGCCTGGGGCACAGACGAAAGAGGAAGGAGAACCGGTCTAATGAGGAGGTGCTATCAATGGGGCAGGCCTTGAAGAAAGCAAACAAAATCACTACAAAAACACAAAATTCTGTCTTCCACAGTTCCCAATAACCAAAATGACCTCATTATAAATTACACCGACATTTCTTTTTGCTTGCTCACAACCATTTGCCTTTTGGGGACAGGTGCCTGATTCTTCTTTGGGAACCACCCTTCCCCAGTCCGTGTCCCTGGGCCACACCTATCCGTGTGCTCCATCCTTCTGGACAGTAATGCTTGATCCAGGGGTGGGCCAGGAAGGCCAAAGGGATGGGTCCTCTGGCTTTTGTCACAGTTAATGGGAAAGAGATAGGACTTTTTTCTCTAGGATATAAACTGAGGATGTGAGTCCAGGGATGCCAGTAGGAAAACAAATCAATGCGGAGGGCAACAGAAGAAATGAAGAGACGTCTGGTCTAAAGACTTCGTTTGAGCTCCTGGATCCAGCCATGCCTGAATCATGAACTTTTCAAATCTGCCAGTGAATATGCTTGCATGCTTGTCCAATGCATTTGGAGTTGAATTTCTGTCTTTTGCCACTTAATTCAGGTTGCTCACAACTTCACTTCCCATTAAATTAACCTAGAGAATGGGTGGGCAACCCCTGGCACGTGTGCCAACCATGGCACGCCAGTAACTTTTGCTGGCACGCGAAACCCTCTCTTACAATCTCCCATTTACAATTTTTTTCTTAATATCAACTTTTTTATTTTTCAGATAAATTCAGTGTAGGTGCATCTTAGATAAATAAATAATTTTACATAACAAGTTATCTTAAAGACCATAGACATGCATTGATGAGAGAGGGGCAGAGCAATTTCTATGCCTCTGCCTTAACTCTCCCTGCCTTCCTTGATCCGACCAGTGTTTTGGTTTCATCCACATACGCTTGTGAATCTTTGTTCTCAGTGATGAATTTTGTGAAGTCTCGTAATAGGAGTAGCCTGACGGATGAAAGTAGTAGCTCGTGCATATCTCTGAAGGTCACGATATATAAACCTGATGTAAAATCTCTGTCATCAGTGCTGCAGCAGCAAAAGTCCCACTGATAATATCAAACGGAGTCATAAAGTTTTCTGTCGGACTATCAGTGTACATGTATACATTAAAAAATAAATGTATTCTTCATCATCATATACTGTGTTTTTGTCCCTCGAATGAATTTTATTATTTCTTCAAGGCTCTTCACATACGTACACCTTAAGAGATATCAAGTAGGCGTAATATGTTCTCAAAAAATTAGGGTTGGCACGCAGAAGAATTTTGAGTCAGAGATTTTGCTGGTTTAGGCACGCACTCACAAAAAGGTTGCCCACCCCTGACCTAGAGTGTGGGTGAAGTGAGAGAGAGAGCAGGCAGGCCCTCAGCCCTCGGCACCAATACCACTGGGCTGGGGGCAGGCCTCTGCACCTAGGTTCCACCCTGGCAAAGTGAAGAGCAGCGCTGGCCCGTGGTTTCCTCCTCTGGCTGGTTGGACAGAATAATCCTCAAGTCCATTTCCAGCCCTGACATTACATTCCCCGTCCCTGCACCCACTCTGGAGGGCAGAGGACTGCAATGGCTGCTGCCCCCACAGGAATTCCAAAGACAGGATGGCTTGTCCTGTTTTCTACAGCTGTGGTCTCCTCACATGTTTCAGTACCAACAAAGCCATTTATCTTATCATCATATATCTTATCGTGGCTTGTGAAGGAAGGTGGTAAAGGAAAGCATGCCTATAAAATGTGGGGGTTTACTCCTAAATGGTTATCGTTTTCAACCCTGCTCATAAGTGGGAATTGAGCTGATGTGACCGTCCCCCCTGCTGGCAGCCTCTCCTCCCTCAAGTCTGTGTGTTCCCCATAACGCACTGGTTCCTCTGCATCCAGAGAGAATGTGCATGTGTTAGGTGTTCCCAAATCGGAATAAAACCGCTGAATTGGAGCGATGGAAGCCAGGGAACCACATTGGTGTTTGTAACCTCTGGTGCCACGGACTCCAAACTATGGACCTACTTTGTTTCAGCCGCTGAGTGCGTCTAAATCCCCAGGTGCAGGAAGAACGGTTCCCCTGTGGGCAGGTGCTTCTCAGTTCTCAAAGTAGGGTGGGATGTTAACGTTGGACCTGGGATGTCAGCATAGTTGGTGGGAACAAAATAAGGCAGCCAAGAGGCTGTCTGGAATGATGAGTTGTCTGCGTTATCTGGAGATCAAGTGTCCTATCTCCCCACCTACCTCCCCACCTCCACCACAGCCTATGGTGCAAATGCTGGACCCCTGCACGCAGCCCTGCCGCCAGGCAGGAAAAGCTGGGCCTCCGGGCATCCTAGGCACAGACTGGGGCCTCCCGTGCGCGGTGGCCTGATGGAGCCCCCTGGAGCTCAGGAAGGAAAGCGAGCCAGGGCTTGGGGAAGACCAGGGTCCCGGACAAAGGGCGTCCGAGTGGAAACGTGCCCAGGCTGGAGACAGCGGCGCGCTCGGGGTGCAGGCTGGTGGTTCACTGAAGCCAGCGCCCTCCTTTCCCTTCTCCTGGGGGCTGGAGACCTGACCCTACCGCCCTAATTCCCCAGGGGGCACTCTCACCCCACCCCAGGGCGCTCCCCACTCCCTGGGCGGACGCTGCCCTCCGCTGCCTCACTTCGGATTCCGGGCAGCGGCTGCGCCTGCAGAGCGGGAACCCCGAGCCCGCTCTCCGAAGCAGGTGGTGCCGCCCCCCGCTTCGGCTGTGGCCCCGCGGGGCAGTCGCCGGCCGGGGTTGCGGGGGCAGGGAGTTCCGGGAGCCCAGAGCTATTTTTATAAGATGCGTCAGCGGGCCTGGAGGCAGAGACAGCTCCCGGGCCCATTGTCTGGGCGCGGCACGGGAGGGGGACCCGAGGGCGATTCCCAACGCTCCTAAGGGCGCGAAAACGGCCCGGGGGCGGAGAAGCCTACCCCGACCCGGGGCCGCGGCGGGGGCGGGGCCGCAGGGGGCGGGGCCGCGAGGGGCGGAGCCGGGCGCCTCCCGCCGCTGCAGGCTGGCGGCGGCGGCGGTTGCGGCGGCAGCGGCAGCGGTAGCGCGGGGACTGCGGGGACAGAGGCGGCAGCGACGCCCGGGGAAGCCCGCGCCCCCGCCTGCGCCTCCGAGGCGCGCCCCGGGAGCGGGAGCGGGAGCGGCCCGCAGCGCCGCCCAGGGCAGAGGCGATTGCCGGAGCCCCGAGAGCCAGCCGCGGAGAGCCGGGCGGCGACCGAGCGTGGGGGTGCGGCCCGAGGAAGACACAGAGCGAGCCGGGGCCGAAGGAGGGCTTCGGGCGCGAGCATCCCGCGTCGCAGCGGCAGAGGCGGCTTTGCAGGAGACAAAAGCCCTCCAGGGAGACGCGATGCTGGGCTGGCGCGGGCTTGGGGGCCGCGGCGTCTGAGCGCGCCGAGCCCTGCGCCCCGGAGGCCAGGCAGGTCGCGGCGAAGGGCGGCGGGCGGAGCTCAGGTGCCTCCGGCCGCGGCGGGCCCTTAACCGCTCGGGGGGCGGCGCCCTCCCGCCGCAGCCGCAGTGGCCGGCGCCGCAGCGAGGAGCCATGGGCAACATCTCCTCCAACATCTCGGCCTTCCAGTCCCTGCACATCGTCATGCTGGGCTTGGACTCGGCCGGCAAGACCACGGTGCTCTACCGGCTCAAGTTCAACGAGTTCGTGAACACGGTGCCCACCATCGGCTTCAACACGGAGAAGATCAAGCTGAGCAACGGCACCGCCAAGGGCATCAGCTGCCACTTCTGGGACGTGGGCGGCCAGGAGAAGCTGCGGCCGCTGTGGAAATCCTACAGCCGCTGCACGGACGGCATCATCTACGTGGTGGACTCGGTGGACGTGGACCGGCTGGAGGAGGCCAAAACGGAGCTGCACAAGGTGACCAAGTTCGCCGAGAACCAGGGCACGCCGCTGCTGGTCATCGCCAACAAGCAGGACCTGCCCAAGTCGCTGCCGGTGGCCGAGATCGAGAAGCAGCTGGCGCTGCACGAGCTCATCCCGGCCACCACCTACCACGTCCAGCCGGCGTGCGCCATCATCGGCGAGGGCCTCACCGAGGGCATGGACAAGCTCTATGAGATGATCCTGAAACGCAGGAAGTCCCTCAAGCAGAAGAAGAAGCGGTAATGTGCCCGGCCGCGCTCGGGAGCGAGGGGGGAGTGAGCGAGTGAGCCAGGCAGGAATGAATGGATGTGCGAGAACCCGCGTCCGCGAACAAAGACAGCGAACCAAAGCGATGCTTCGAATTTTTAACATGGAATCTCTGCACCCGGATGCAGGATTATTGACTTAACCTGGGTGTATAGGCTGACTTGCCAGCCTGCCCTTCACCTGCTCCCACCCCCAGCTCAGGGGACCTTTTGTCTGAATGCCTGAGCTCCCTGATGGGGTGGGAGGCCGCCCTGGGGAGTGGACGTGCCTGGGCTGCCGGCTGCCCTCCTGGCCCCTGGGGAAGGCTCAGATATCAGAAACAAAAGCGATTCCTTCCTACTCCAGCAGGGCCAGAAGTTCAGGCTGCCCCGCCCTCACCTGTGAGTTACCTGAGGTATGCAACTCCCAGAACCCTGGGTGTCCCCGGGTGGGGGGCATGTTGGCAGTGGGAGGTGCTGGGGGAACCATCACTCCTTGCATCCATGGGCGGTGGAAGCTGGATAATTTTTTGTCACAGGGCAGGACCCTGTTGAAATTTCACTTGTCCTGCTCTGGGCCCAAAGGAGATGGTGGTTTAGGCTATCAGAGGACTGCCTGGAACAATACACAGCCCCAGGGCATGGGGTGCTGCACCAACCTTGGCTGAGGGAACGGCCCCGAAGATGCCCCTCTCCTGGTGATTTGTGGTGGCTACCGAACCAGTTTTGCTGAGAACCGCTTTTCACCTGGAATCAGACGTCATCCAGATGGTTTGGACCTGTCCATGTGTAGGTCATTATCACACAAAGAGACCAATAAAAACATAAAATACAGTGAAACCTGTTGGAGGTGGTGGCAAATGATGCATTTACTGTTTGCAGGATAGCTAAAGGTGTTTAAAGGGTAAGGCTCTGGATATAAATGCTGGATGGATGTGTGTGTGGACACAGGGACCTCCCTCTGTACTATGTCATTGATATAAATATCTAGACCCATATGTGTGGAATCTTAAGTTCTCTTAGCCTACTGATTGGTTTGTGTGAGCACACCAGCTCACCAGCTGCAGATTGTGTGCTGAATTGCAAGATGGTTTTTTGCAAGGAATGTCTCATACTAACCGCCTGATGATGGGTTTTGGTTTTCAGACATGTTAAAAAAAAAAAAACTTATACAAATGAATGTTCACCTTAGAAATATTCACCGTAGGAAAAAAAGACTTTGCTCTGCCCTTTTATATCCCTTTACGCTGCAAGTGGCGAGATGTTCAAATTTCTAATTGGGTTCATTGAGGTCTATCTTGTTTAGGAATTTTATTAAAAATGTGTCATTAGAGTATTTCATGTCATGCACCACAAAATAAAACCCCACCTTGTTGTAAAAGCTGACCTTGCTGCATGGATTTAAAAGCGAAGGAAAAGTACCAGGATGAGGCTCTTCCTAATTCATCTTTGTGGGAACTGGCCTGCGTAGCAAATGCGAACCACAGTGGGTGCTTGAGATAAAAAGCAAGCGTGTGACGTCACGGTCACCTGTGCCCCGGCACTTGACAGTGTAGTTGAAAGAAGCTTTGGAAAATAAAGTAAAAGAATAGATATTTTTAATAAGGTAATTTAAAGAAATTTTTTTATAATCAGGACTGAGTCTTGGTTAGCAAAATCTGTTATTTTACCCTGAGACACGGTATCGGAAGGGAAACTTAAGCTTACTGTTCGATTTTTATTTCCTCTTTGAATCCATGTTCACAGGTAGAATTATGTGTTCCCCCCACCGTTATAAGTTAATTTGCGAAGGAAGCCTATTGAAATGGGGCATGATCGTGCTCGAACACGTGAGTTAGTCAAATGATACAGTCATGCCTGTTGTCCATTGCACTCAGAAAGTTCATTTACGAACCAGAGAAGGAATTCCTGACTTTCTGCTTGAAACCCAGTTCTTAGATGTGATATTTTGACAGAAGGAACCTAGCAGGCCCACTTCTTTCCTCCTTTGTTGGTGTATCTGGTACCCCTCCAATGTGGTCTTTTTGTAGAAACTCAGTAGAGAAAATATAGCTAAGCAGTGTTGAAAAGCCTGCAAGATTTCAGTTTACATATCAACAGCATATTCACTGATTTCTAAATGGGCTGGTCCCATCATTGAAGACTCTGTATAGAATTATTAAAAAAAAAAAATCCATCTTCTTTATTTTCTTCACATGCAACAATTTCTTAAGCACTTTGACATTTTGGTAGTTCCACACTATTGAGAGAATAATATATTTATTTTGTGACATTGCAGATGCCAAATACTGTAACCTTCTCATGCTCACCATTCTTAGGCTCCAGATCACTGTTCAAATCCTGCCATGCTTTACAGATGATGCGAAGTGATTTTTGTTTTCTTGCACTATCAACACTTCAAGGGTGCAGTCAGCTGTTAGTAATTGTGTAGTAAAGTAAAACCCTGTGGTGTCTCAACTAATAGTTAAGAGTCTCCGTTGATTTCTATAATGTTTGACCTAATAATAGCCCATTTCACCTCTGAACAAACATATCACCTTGGAGGCATCAGCCCAGAGGTCCCCTCCGACCTAGCGGTCAGTGATTTAGGATGCCTCCTGCCCTTGGGAGAATGAGTGGGTGCCACATGGAGGAAGTGGGCCTCCCCACAGGAACTTTTGAAGCGTTTTCTCACAGATATAGGGAGGCCAGCTTTGTTTCAGAACAATTCTCTTCCCCCATTCTCTGTCATGGTGTTGGGACTGTGTCTCCTGGCTGTTTTCATTTCTACTGCTACAATTCTGTCTTGATCCATCCTTCCTCTTCTGTCCCCGCTCCCTTTTATATGCCTATATGATGCTGTGAACAGAAATAAATTATTTATACAAGCAAAAGTTTGGGGAAGTCTGTGGATGATTTCTGCTGTCTATACTCTAGGCCTCCTTGGCTGACGGGAGGGACGGGTCTGGAGGTGGTTGGTTCTGGGGCTGAATCTATCGTCTCTGCTTGTTTGGTTTGAGTGTCTGTTCCACCCTTAGAGGTGGATTTAGAGGTGCCTGTCAGTGATCCTCACAAATCCTTTAGGAAAATGGCCTCAATGCCTAGCCCATCCCTGGTCTCCCAGTTATTGTAAATGTCCTGGTGGTTAATTATTTCAAAAATACCTGGTTATGGAAAATTAGGAATACCAATGTGCTAACGTAACACTGTTAGTCATTATAAAGCTGCTCAGGGAGCTGCCTCCCTGCAGATAACCGGGTTGACTTCCACTCTTGAACCCTTAGATTCAGTGGTTCTCAACCTTCTGGTCCTTTAAATACAGTTCCTCATGTTGTGACCCAACCATAAAATTATTTTCGTTGCTACTTCATAACTGTAATGTTGCTACTGTTATGAATTGTAATGTACATATCTGATATGCAGGATGGTCTTAGGCGACCCCTGTGAAAGGGTCGTTCGACTGCCAAAGGGGTCGCGACCCACAGGTTGAGAACCGCTGCCTTAGAAGAACCTGAGTACTCCTAAATGGCAGGTGCACTAAGACCAGCATGATCAACCCATGCCCTTGGGAAAGGGCCACTTTCTAAAGAGAGCGAGATTGGGTGAGAAGCAGTAGGACCTCTGAAGATTCAATGTGTAGCTGGTGGAGGTGGGTATCAGGCCACAAAACTAAGTAATGGTTGTGTCTTCCCTCTGGAGCTAAAAAGATCTAGCCTCAAATTCTGACTGGTGATTTTGCTGAAGTCTTGAGCTCAGTTTCCCCTTCTGTAAAATGGAATTGTGAGGATTGTTGGGAGGATGGGACAATAATGAATGTGAAGTGATGATCAAGTACCTGGCGCAGAGCAGGTACTTGCTAAGTAGCTTTGGTTGTTACGGGCTGCTAACGATATGTAGAATGCATGATAACTGTACTACAGGCCTTTCAATGAGGTCACTGCAATTTTTCTTTATTCATACCTGTTTGGTGTCCTCATCCTGCTAAACCCTGAGCTGCTGACTCCAGGTCCAGGCCAGAGTGGAGTCAAACAAGCAGCTCTAGAATCTGATCATCCTGGGCGAGGTCTTCTCATCTGCAGCTGTGAGGGGCCGAATTAGATGCTCAACTGAGGCCTGAAGACTAGTGAATCCCTCAGTCCTCTGACAGCCCATCTCTCTAGGCTGTGAGCCTCTCCACCATAAGGAGTATGTCTTTGATAGCTGGTGCCTAGCATAAAATTGAGCATATAGTATGTGCTCAGTAAATACTTCAATGACTTAATTCATGTCAATTTGTTTGGGTTGTAAACTTTCATAGTATGTACTCAGTAAATACTGCAATGACTTAATTCATGTCAATTTGTTTGGGTTGTAAACTTTAATGGAAATGGACGTTCTATAAATGATTATTTGCAATTCAATATTTTGATTAAGATGAAAATACAAAATCATATTATTTTTTGAGATCACTGTTGTGAGATGAGCCATTGCAATGGCTCTCTAGGACGTGGAAATGTCCACACATTAGTAAAACATTGAGGAGCTTAGTGATTTTCCTTATAACATGAGCAAGGCTTGACTACATCATCCACATATATCACTATAGAAGCAAATGTTTAAGAGCCTGATGACATCAAAAGGGGACAGATGCCATTTGTAAGAACTGAAACCTGAAAAATGCTTGAAAAGCCATTTATAAAAACCACCAGAACTACTTATGAGTAAAAATACTAGAACTCAACAGAAGCAAAAACTGAAACCTTTGTTTTTTGGTGCAACCTTAATGTAACCTTGGTTTAACAAATCAGTCCTTGAGGGGCCAGGTGGCGCTTGGTATTGGATGATACTGTTCATTTTGTTAAGGCAAGTAACCCCAAATGGCCCATCCCTCTGACCTCTAACAATCGAGGAGGATAATTGCAGTCGTAAGCAATTGTCACATTTTCCCCAATCTGAACTTCCCCTCTAAGGTTAGCTCTTCTTCATGTGTAAGTTTCTGTGCATTCACATTTGTCTCCAGAGCTTGTGCTCTTGGAACAATCCTGTTACCAACATCATAGACTGTTCTGATGTCACGTTCATGTGGCACCATGGAAGGACAAATGATGTGCCAAGAGCAGAAGATAACAGGCCTGGCATGGTGAAGAGTGAGGCGAGAACTCGGCCCAGATCTTGACCCTCCCTGATGTCACAGCTCTCGCCTGTCCACCTAACCTCTCCCTTTCCTCCTCTGCATCCACACGCGTGCCTGATGTCCACAGTTTGGCATTTGCCCGCCAGAAACCAAATTCTCCATCTCAGTCACTCTCAAGGTACCTCTGTCTTGAAATAGATGCTTCATCCATGTTCACTTATCCTTAAAACAGCTTCTCCTTCTGGCACTCCCCGGCTCAGCTGACACTTGTTTCATGTAGAACTTTCCCAGATGCTGGAGCACTTCATGCCTGTGTTTTGCATGACCTCTGATGGGGAACGGGCTGCTTTAGTTTCTGAGAGGAAATTGCACAGAGGGTTTCTGAGAGGGTGACATCTGTGTCTCCACCCACATGAGAAGTGAGAAAGGAAGAGCTCTGCGGTTCCACTCCTAAGTCTTCAGAGCATGAGCTGGCTTTCTTAGAAGGGAAGGACCTGATGGGCCACTCTGGGCCTTACCTCCTGCTAATGACTGTCACGGTGAGTGTGTTCTCAGGGTGTGACAGTCCTGCATGAAAGAAATACCAGTGTTCAACGTTAAAGCATGGGTTCAGTAGGACAAGCATCTCTTTGCCTGTACTAATTAAAATGAACATAGTCACCCTGGCCGGTGTGGCTCAGTTGGTTGGGCATAGTCCCGTGCATCAAAAGGTTGCCACTTCCATTTCTGGTCAGGGCTCCATCCCTGGTAGGGGCATGCAGGAGGCAGCTGATCGATGTTTTGCTCTCACATGGGTGTTTCTCTCTCTCTCTCCCTCTCCTTCCCTCTCTAAAAATCAATTTTAAGAAAATTTTAAATTAACATAGTCATGTTAAATACAGTTCTACAGATTTCTACTGTGACTTAGTCCTGGAAAATTATGATAACAGCCATTGCTAACCTTTAGTGAACACTTAATATGTGTTAGGCACCACACTACGTGCTTTATCTGCTCAATCTCCTTTTCCTTCCTTGAGATCAATTCATTCATCAAGTAAATTAATCAATGGATGCTTGTGTACTGGCAGATGAGGAGAAATTGAGGTGAGAGGATTAGATTACCTCCTCTGGGGTCAGTCACTGTTAGGGTAGAGCCCAGGTGAAGCCTGGTAAAGCCAGAGGCTGAGCTCCGAGTACCCCCAGCCTGCTGCTCACAGAGAGGGAGGCTCTGCAGTAGAAGGAAGGTGGGGCCCAGAATCCAGGCAGAAGCAGAAGGAAACTGTGTCCCCAATGGGCAGCACCACCCTCCTGACAGGGGCCCGCCTTTTCTCAGCCCCTCCCTCCTGAGAACTCAGCTTGTGGACAGGCCTGTCCCCAAGCGCTGTGCCTCGCCTCATCCATTTCCCCCTCCTGCCCTGATCCCTTGCAGAGTTGTCTGTGTCCTAGTCCTTTGGGCAGGTAGGATCAGCACGATGGCCAAAATGGCTGGCCCCAAGTCCTCCTTGGGGAACACATTCTAGTGTCTAACTCAATCCCTCTGCACCAGCTTCTGTCCTTGAAGCATTTTATTTCCGACTTTCTTTTCAAGAAAATCGTATGCTTGGGCAATGCCCCTCTGGTACAGGACCCTTATACATCTCAGTAGGTAGCAGTGGGTGGGGTGGGGGGTGCCTGCCTTGGGGTGAAATCTTGACTGACCCTCTAGCCTTGCTTAACCTAGATGCCCTGTATACACAGAGAGGCTGACAGTCCCTGCCCCGCCTGTCCTTCCGGTGATTCCAAAGATGAGGAAGGACTGTGCAACCAGCCAGGCAGGTCTGGACCCTCGTAGAGGCTGCCTGTCCCGCGTGGATGGTGCCCTTGCTCTCTGCGATGCCCACTCTCACTTGCAGGCATGTTCCACTTCTCTAGTTATGGACAAGTCCCACTCTGCTGCTCCCTCTCTATCTTCACTCACAAGAACACTTCCAACTCACAAGGAGTGAACCAAAGAAGACTTAGCAAAGGCAAACATCTCTCCCTGTGAGAGTCTGAGGAGGACATAAAACCTTGGTGGGTGTTTCCATGGAGGCGACTTTGGGGAAAATAAGCCTCCTTATTTCTGTCATTTGCAGAAAGAATTCTCATTCTTCTAATGGCGAACTCATGATTGCACTTTACAAGTCGTTTTATTTAATCCTCTCTGAAAGGCTATGAGGTAGGCATGTCCATCCTGCCTGCACTTCAACAGACAGATAGGTACATAGGTAGATAGAGAGATGATCACACTAATAATTGCTGACCACCTATGGCGTGCCAAGCACTGAACTAAATGCATCAGCCAGATACCCTGTCTATACACCGCAGTGAACATTATGGGACAGGGATTATTTTTAATCATTACCTTCACTTCACAGATGCAAAAACAAGCTTAGAGATGCTGGGTCTCAGAGCCACCAAGCACAGTGAAGGTGTGAGTCTTGGAGGTCTGACTGCAAGACCTGTGCTCAGATCCTGAGGTAACCCTGCACAGCCCCGCAGAGCCCAGAGCCAGGGCCTGGCACGTGGTAGGTGGTCTGGATTTCGAGCTCATAATCAGTACAGTGCCCCACATCTGCAGCTCAGAAAGATGGCAGGAGGGCTCTGCAAACCAATGCCTCTCAAATCTAACATGCACACCACTTACCTGGAGGCCTGTACATCACACGGCCTGATTTGGTGGGGCTCTGGTGTTCTGAGGGCCTGCTTTTTCTTGTAAGTTCCCAGTGGTGCCATGCTACTAAGCTCTGAATGCCTGTTGAAGCCATTGGTTCCTCTGGAGCT